AAAAAGAACAAAACAACTGGCTCCACGATAGCTCAAAAAGGAACTTGTAGAACTTGTGTGTCACTGCAAAAAGAGGTTAAGGTACACTTTACTGTACGCGAAGGGAAATATGTCCTCTGCATTTGACCCATGGGGGCACCTCATCATGTACACTGAGCACCACGGTGCTACACCTGGGGTATGATCGTGTTGTTGGACTACCTTCACTGGATTTGGAGTTTTGGGGTTGATAGGGGAAACAGGAATGCCCAGAGGAAACACATCCAGACACAGGCAGAATATGCAAATTCCACACAGAAAGGTCCAGGCAAAACCCTTCTTGCTGTGAAGTGTGAGTGCTAGCTACTCAGCCACTGTGCTGCCAAAGAGTATTTTCATTTTCTTCATTTATCTTGATTCTTTATTTCCAAGAGTAGCAGACTGTCTTTTTCATGAGCGCCCTGTCAATAGACAGTAGACAATACAAAAAACAATGACAACTGCACAGGTCCATTTACAACCTTAAAAAGAGATGCAGGTGTGACTATAAATGTCTGTCACCAGATGAATAAATGCACTAGTGGCACCAATGTATCCAGTGCATGTGCTAGAACAGCATTCCTTTTTTGAGAAACAAAAAGTGTGGCAAGGTTTTAGACGTAAACAATCATGAGATATTATTTCTTATTTCAGTTTTGTTTTTGTTTTGTTTTTTGGGGGGGGGGTTGTAAATAATTAAATATAGAACACACAAGACACACAAAAAATTCAAGACGAAAGTTACAACAATAATCATGAACAAATAGCATGTAGAGGCTTGTCAGTGCATGTGATGTGTGTGGAGAAATAAATATAACAAAAATAACAAACCTAATAAATGAATAAATTACTGTTGTTGTTTTCTGACACTCTCATGTGTTGAATCTATTAAAATTCCTGCATGGGCTTTTCCCAGTCCCGCCTCTTTTATATGCAGCCAAATTGTCAGTTTTTGGTTGGATTTAAGCCCAGATTGGCTCACTTGTCCATCCGTATCGAGTTAATGCCATAGCGCTCATTTGAAAGCGTGGAATAGTGAGGATATTCAGAGTCTTGTGGTGCTGCGGGGAGAGAGAGAGAAAGAGAGCGAGGAGGAGGAGGGTGGGGGGAGTGGTTTGGGCCAAATCTGTAGTCCAAATCTGGTGTGAAAACCCCGGTGAGATTAGGAGACAGAGCGGTAAGCCCACACTGACAGATGGACTGCCTAATTTACTTTATTAGCTCAGAGCAGCACTGTGCCATGGTTGCCCTGTACGTACGGTATTGTTGAATTTGGTTTTAAAAAGGAAAAAAAAAAAAAGAAAGAAACTGGATCAAATCAAATCAGGAAAAATTTTATAAAGACAAATTTCAATCAAAACCGTGTTACACTTGTGATGAGACACTGCGAGGCACATCAGCCTCAGGGTTCCATAGAAATAAAAGGTTAAAACCATAATTTGGTTCGTTCTCAGTGATACATTTTATGCCATACTGTGGAATATTACAGCCAAAAGAACAGCGTTTCCATGGAGATGAGCAGGTCCTCCTCCAAGCCAAGTAAGATTCAGGTTTGTGAAGATGCAAACAGTGCAATAAAATTAAAAAAACAACAACAAAAAAAACATATATATGTGTGTGTGTGTGTGTGTGTGCTTTAAATTGCCTGTATCCTTTTTTTTTCATTTGAGCAAAATTAGTCTTGCCCCAGATACAAGAAGGTCAGAATAAGTCAGCTGTGTACTCCCTGCATCTAAAGCTGACAGTAAAAAGCACTTATAAACTCATGGCAGTGAATAATTAGGATGCTCAGAATGCATTAGGGAAGTGAGCATTGGACCACTGCAAACCATTTAAAATGAATTATAGTTCTGCTTTTCACATTTTTAAGACAGTAAGAATCTGTTAGAGCGCCCTTAAGACCTTAAATGAGAAAGCAGGACTAAACCAAGACTTGACTCCTATACAGCTCAGAATCACACCTCCATTGTCCCCGTTGCACATTTTGAGACGCAGTGCTGCAGTTTACAGAGAAAGCAGCAGGGTGGTGTGCACAGAGAACGATGTGCACATGGGGCGGTGTGCAAAGACCGAGGGTTTCACACAGGTTTAGAGGATTTACTTTGAGCCTGAGTCAAGTGATCTGATACCGAGAGGCCAGAAGAGACCAGAGGGGACCAAAGGAGACAAGAATGACCTGCTCTGCTCCAATACATGACATTTTGTGAACATTTTAAACTAGACCTTTTCAGCTAAAAGACAAAATGTCATAATCACTGTCATAAGGGACAATCTTTTATTTCAATAAGGAATTTACAATGAGGTAACATAAGATTAGGGAACCTGTATTTGACATTCAAAGTGTTGCAGTGAGACACAGACAATAAATACAAAAGGTATGAATAGAAAAAACATTAAAAGAAGAAAAACAGTAAAATCGAGCAAAACAATGAAATAGCAATAAATAATTTAAATAGATTAAAATAAATACAAGACACAGAGAACATTACAGCATCTCATTTGCAATCTTTATTAAAGGCGCTGTACTTGATTCTTCTCTTAAAAAGCTGAAAAACAGAACTAGTTCAAGTGGTCCAAAGTTATTTCTCACTTACCTTATCCATCCTAATTTTTCACAGTTCTCAGAGACCAGACCAGAGTTTTTCCCTCACGGTAAAGCTAACAACAACTAGCATACTAACCTACACTTCCTGATTATCAGACAATAAAACGCTTTATAATTAGGTGCAGACAGGCCAAAGCTGATTTATTTTGACCTCAAGAGCTGCTCAGATAGCCTATCTGTACTATCTATAAAAAATCTGTTACAGGCCCTTTAACTGGGTAGGAATGAACATGGATTTTTTTTCCCCTCATAACACAAAAAAACCCTCTGCATCTCAGTCTCACCTCTCTCTTTGATGGAAGTGAACAGGAAACTCAGCTTTTAGCACCAATGATAATTATTAACATTTTTAATTGACAAAATAATTTCACTTAGTAATGATTTGCCAATTTGCCTTTTGTCAAATGCACCTTCTGAATTCCACACGGTGAGTTTAAGCAGGTCTTTTTCACCTGCTCACAGTGGGGTGCTGTCATTTGGTAATTATTTCATGTAATTTTTGAAGCCTCTGCTGTTCCTCTGACACCTCAGCTCACATCCTGATTCATTTGTTTCATTTGACGCCTTCGCAAAGAAACAGAGAAAAACGCAAAATCTGTTCTTCAGTAGGTAGAAGTGAGATGTCTTTTGGGGGGAAGGAGGAGGATTTTGTTTTTCTTTGTTAATTAAATTTTCAGTTAGGGATCTCAAGATAAAACAGTGTAAATGTAAAGTCCTTTGATATTTGTCTACTAGCGGTGTGCAAAGATATCAAAATATCGATATATCGTATCATTTAATGTGATGATACAGTGTCAATATCGGGGACTCCTGTATCGATATATCAAGTAAGAGTATTTTTTGGTTATTTTGTTTCATATTCACTGTTTTCATGATTGAAATGGGTGTGTCTCATATGAACTTTGCTCAAGAAGTGGTTTGACAAAGACTTTTAGTATCACAGCCATCATTAGGCCATTATTTTATATTGAATCATATTGAATCGATTTGAAATAAATCTTATTGAATCGAAAGTGCACTGTATCAAGATATGTATTGTATCGGCAACTTCTTAATGATACCCAGCCTGGCTACTTACTCATTTTAGAAATTGGATATTTTATTGGATATTTTACTTACTTTATTTATATTTTTAAAAAATAAATAAAAAATTTGAATTCTTCTTCTGTGTTCTTTAGAGTCAACATTTTGCCACTCCAAGTAGCTTCATCATTTCTGAAACAAATCTGGTAAGATAACTTTACAGATTCAAGCTTGTTTTACTATGGACCCATAGCTGGAAGAATGAGGGACTACACAGACAAGTGTTTTTAACCATAAATTTAAAGCTGTCAAGGTAAATTAAAGAAAAGGAAAAAAAATCTTGTATTTTTATACCTGTCAATGCAGCTCTTTTTGTGAAGCTGTAAAGTCATATTTTGACGTATTTTTGACAGATTTCACTGGCCTATATATTCTTTTGTTGTTGTACATTTGAAATTCTTGTATGTTTTAACTTTGCGTCTCTACGAAAACAGCTATATCACTTTTCAAACAAATGACAAACTGAATTTTCAACAAACAATAGCTCAGTTTTCATCATGTCAACTTTTTATGTACATTTTTGGTCTATATTTTTGTTATTGCTCTATTTTCATGCATGTCACATTTTGAAACAATACATTTGGACATTTGGGGCCTCTAGGGATTACCTGTCGACCACATAAGAATGGGCTTGAGTACTGTTTTATCCTCTTATCCTAAATATATCTTTCTGTTTTGGACTGTTATTTGTAATAGTTATTTTCTTTGGTTGCCAGTTCTGTCTGTCAGAATACATGCATGCAAGCATTAATATCCTGCAGCATTTTTATTATTTTATTATTCATAGTTTTTTATCTAATGTATCACTTTTATTTGTTTTACAATTCAATCTAGTTCCAGTTGTCCAAATTTTACCTCCACTGATTTTTATAGCTAAATGTTAATCTCCAAAATGAAATGAAAATGTAAAATTATTTCTGAAATGTGCTATACAAATAATGTTTGCATTAGCACGTGGCTACTTTTAGGATGTGATTAACAAAATGTATAATAGGACTGGGGAAATGTGGTGATAACAATCAAATCATGAGCTTCAATCTTATTTCCTTTAACAATGTGCAGTTTCGCATTTTCTGTTCCAAAATGCTCTGTTCCACCTTGTGATGTCATGTAGTAGTAGATTTTAACTGCTACCTTTTACCTGTACCGGAATACAGTTACTCAAAATTAGTATTCAGAATATGTATTTTTGATACATGTATTCAGTTACTTCTCAAAACTCTCTATAAGCTCTTCATTGCACTTCACTAATTTTCCTATAATTGTCTGACTAAACTTGTCCTCTGCCCCTCAGGTCTGCGTCATGGTCTGGGTCAGCTGACCTTCAGTGATGGGACCTGTTTCACTGGACAGTTTGAGAACGGCCTCTTCAACGGCTGCGGCATTCTGCTCTTTCCAGATGGATCCAGGTTTGAGATACACATTTTTTTTAACTAACAGTCAAAGGAGCTGTTGACTTGAAAAATACCACTTCATATCACAAGGTGGAACAGAGCATATTGAGATTTGGAGATGTAGACAGACTAATCATGCTAGGGTTAGCCAAACACATGTGAATGAAACAAAACGCAACTCCACGTATGTTTTTGAGGAGGTGACAACATTCTAACATGGCTTAAAGATCAAAAGAGTTAATTTTGCGTAATATAGGACTGACCCGGAGTGCAGGTCTGTTTTCTACAGTAGATTGTTTATGGACAATATCTCTGTGACCATGCTCTGCCAGCCAAAATGGTGAAACTATTTTTGCACGAGACCTTCATAGCATGAAAATAACATTGAAATTTGCTAGATTTAGATTGCCAATTGTTCTGTCACAAGATTAATAAACTACATTTGGACCCAAGTCCTATAATAAACATTTTAAAAGTAACGTGCATAGCCCCTGCCCGCATCTGAAATTTTGACAGCACTTTCTGTAAAATGAACATAACCTCTTTCTTTGTTTGAACATGCTTGTAAATTAGCATTTCTTTCTAATTCTTCTCCAAACTTTCTCCTCCAGTAAACACCTCCCTCTTAGCGATGAAATCATGTTTTGTTTCTTCTTTAGCGTCAGACTCAGAGTTAAAAAAGGTGCCAAAAAGTGGTGACAGGTGCCGCCTTCAGAGAATAAACTTGTAAAAAAAAACATTTAAGTTTTGAACAATTAATACAAGACGTAAATAACTCTTGTCTTCATCTCGCTGTTTTCAATCGCATTTGCACCTTTTGATGTGCGTTTAGTGCTGCCATGTTTTCAGCCTTGGTTGAAGACATTTTGAAGTAGTTTAACATGTTTTGAAGTCATTTTCTTTTTTTATCAAATACACACTCAAAGGACACAGTGGACACAAGATCAAACTTTTAACAGTGTACACTACAAACTGAATATATGAGTTAAAAGGCCCATTTTTCACTATTTTCTGATGTGTTATAATGTTTCCTCATCAAAAACATACCTGGAGCTGTGTTTTGTTTCATTCACATGATATTTGAGTTAATGTAATTGGACAAACAAAATGTGAAATAAGATTAAATTTCCTTAGAATAGACACAAAAATGACTACAACTAATAAAAAGTAAGAGTAGTAAAAAAAAAAGCAGCAATAACAATTAAACAGATCAATTTATATATTTGTTATTTCCATCTGAACTTTTTTCCAGCTTTTTTTTGAGTGTACATTTTATGATTTTCATGGTTAGATCTTGTAGATTTTTTTTTCCTTTGAGTAAATTTTTATAAAAGGAAAATTACTTCAGAGACTCTTGAACCCTTCAAAACATCTTCAATTAAGTAAAAAAAAAATCACATTATTTAACCATATAAATGTATTTGCTTTTCTTACAATTGAGATTCCTTGCATTTTATTGGGTCAATGCCAAGGACAAGACTTGTTGAAACTAAAAGCATTCCTCTCTCCTCCACCACAGTGGTTCATTTTGAGTATTTCTTATTGCAGATACGAAGGCGAGTTTGTGCAGGGGAAATTTCAAGGCGTTGGTGTCTTCACTCGATTCGATGGCATGAAGTTTGAAGGAGAATTCAAAGGAGGATCTGTGGATGGATATGGTGAGAATGTGTGCTTTTACATATGTACATACATATGTAATCATACATAGATCCCAGGAAATTACCGGGTGCAAAATTCCAGAACACAGTAATGAGCCCCTTTCATACATGCTCTGTTCACACCATAACATGTATAAAGAAGTGGACCAAGGGAGTGTGGCATCACCCACAGCATTCGCCTCCAGTCAAATGAAGCTCACAAGGCTAGCAGTTATAGGAGCAAATTTGGAATTAGAAATTTATTTACGGACAAAAATAGCAAAATAAAACACCAGGATCATCTAGATTGGGTTAATATGAACATTTTAGGACCAAAATGATGAAGCTCACTGCAGCAGTTACAGAGAGAGGGCTGACAATATTCCAATGTAACGTCAAAGAGTCGATGGAGCCGGAAGCGCCACTTCGATTTGAAACCCAGTGGCTAGCAAGTTAGCTATGTCTATAGTCTACAGTCTACAGGCAAGACACCCGAATGGATGTGTAGTATTATTAATCGTGTTTGGAATGCGCAACACGAACTGGCTACACAACAAAGTGAGTTTTAGCAATATAATTCCACAAATGTGAAAAATAGAAGTATCCGAGCATCCTAATTATTGTTCGCAATGAGTTTATAAGCGACACTGAAATCTGAGTTTTGCTGTCATAGTAATGCTAACAACACTTAGCATGCTAACAACGCACCAGGCTTACTTGTTGGTTCACGTGCAATAAAATGCTTTGTAGATGCACACAGTGGACACAAGAGTTGCCTTACATCTGTACTGGGGTAACACAAATTATTACATTATATTACGTTTATTACATGAATGTATCATTTCACTTTCACATGTAAATCTTCCCCACTTTTTAAAATTAAAAGTAACAAAAAACATCTTGATTAAGACAAATTCTAGTTTAATTTAACAATAACACAGACATACATATTGACTTTAAACGCTGTATTTTTTCTATAGAATTACTGCAGTCTTTCTGATTGGGCCCCTCCCCCCTCCTGCTCATCTTCATTTGAATTTTTTGTCTTTCTAATGTGTCCGTAACCAGGAAACAGACCTCCACAGTGAACTTCCATCAAAATCACTTGAGATGCAGCCTTCTTCTCTAATCATCATCATCACTCACCAATCCCCCGCTCTGACCATGATTTAGGGGCTTGTTTTGGATAGAGGTGAACTTCATGCAAATTCTAACTATAGAATATATAAGCAATTTACTAGTCTGTATTAATTATAATGTAGGCCACTGTGCAAAGGTTTGAAGGTTTTAAGAAAGTCTGTGAACAAAGAAAGAATGAGACCTCCTCAAAAGCACTATTCCTGCTTTACAATGGAAAAGAATAGAGCCCAAACCTGAACACAATAAAATAAAAGCAGTCTTCTACTTCTACAATGACAAAGAACAACATTCATATACTTAAAAAAGACGTACAGCTTAGAACCACTATTCTATCCTGCAGTACTGATGGCTGTGATTGACAAGTCCATTAGAGAATTAGAGAAACCATGGTCCATTCTTGTTTGTTGACAAGTAACAAATAACACAGAGGACCGTTTTCACATTGCCACAAATTAAGTGGATGTGAAAGAGCATTCGCTCCGAGAGAGGTGCACTTGGGCCAGTGTGAACCCTCAGAGCCTGTGTTCAGTCAAGTTTGAAATTTGTCATATGATTAAAAAGTATAATTCTAGACAGGTATTTTATTATTATTATTATTTTTTATTTTTTTTAGAAAATCAGTTGCTCACATAGCAGAGCCCTGCCTCTGGAGATATATAGATGTGTATTATATAAGTACATTTTAATTGTTGCCTACATTAAACTTCTTTGAGAAAATGTAAACAACCATAGTGACCTAGTGTCACTTAATTGCCTTGATTCAAGTGATGCACTTTTTTGGTTTTATTTTACAGTCCATTCTCATTTAGCGCCAACTAACAAACAGTGAAATCCAAAATCGAATGTGTAAATCCATTCAACCTAAAGTCTTAGAAAGGCCTACACCACAACAGCAGAAACATCTGCCTCCTCAACTTCACTTAAATCTATCACTGATGGAACCAAAGCACCGGTGGTTATCCACTGACAGTTTTCAGTGACTTTGTGTTGCTCTGGGCGGCTCAGTTACCATGGCAACACTAATGTTGCGATTAGTAAAAATGCTCAGGAATATCGCTCAAACAGAGCCATGGACACAGGACAAACTTTTAACTGTGACATATTACAACACTGGCAGTCAATTTGGTGGCAGTTAATAGGGAGCCAAATAAATAAACAATGAACATACTGTATAACTGGCCTCCTAAATGTCAGGAATACAGCAATAGACACATACCATTTTAGATGCTTTGACAATTAAAAAAAGGCTAAATTAAAGTGTATTATCAGTGAGTGTGCTTCTGTGATCCTCTTAAGGTGTTAAAGGTTGTATGGAGGATTTTTTTTGTTTCAAATTGTCAATGATAGCATTATAAAGATGCAGTAGCCTTGTAATTATGATGACCAAAAAAAGAGAATAAAAATTCATCAACTCTGGACGTGGTGGGGCCAGCTAAACATTTGCCAATAGATAACGAGACTGCCTCGTTATCTGTTAGCTGATAGGCTGTCAATCAAACTCCCTACGTTTCTAGCGTAACTGACTTGCCTGCGCGCTACCATTACGTGGTTTACGTACGCCTGTCACGCAGTCCACAGACGCACAGACGCTGTTTACTCCACCAACGCAACAGTTGGGGGGGGGTTCACGCATGCGCAACATTTGAAAAAGGACAAACAGTCGCTGGATTTTTCGTTCCTTGGAAAATCCTCTATACAACCTTTAAATAACTAGCAGCCTACAGTTGTGATTTTATTTAAGAGGGATTGTTTATATTAATGTCAAATTTAAAACGTCAGTTGACCGAACAGAACACAAAGTGAAAATGTTAACATTTAAATCACAGAACACTAAAACATTACAGTGCTAGATGTTATAAAACAAACCCATAAAATTAAAGATAGTGGCTGTAAATGATGGTCAAATCCAAAGCAAATACGTGTGTTTTTAACTTCATTTTAAACTGATTCACAGACTGAGCGAAGGAGCAGGCCTTTCCACGGTTCTCCCCTAGACACAAGCCTGGACTTGGGCACAGTTAATGCTGTGGAGCCAGCCAATTCAAACATTTAAAAAACATCAATACAATTTTGAAATGTATTCTAAGTGCAAATGGGAGCCACTGTAGGGAAGACTCAACTGGAGTGTGCTCCTGTTTTCTTGTGCCTGTCAGTATGGAACCTGCAACATTTTGGACCCCCTGCAAAGAGAACTCTAACAGAAACACGTTTTACACTAAATGTAAAATTATTTTAAAAGCAAAGACTTTGTGCAGCAGTGGGTAACAGAACATATTGTGATGTAACAGTCAATTTCATTTAGAATATTAGAAAATTAGCCAAAGAAACCACAGCTTACCACTGAGTATGAGAGGTGAAGGAATAATAGGTTCAAAAAGCAATCTAATCTGGCCTGGGTTTAAACTGAGGACTATAATGGTCCCTTTGAAATCTTAATTGTAATTTGAATGACAAAGTCTTTCTCTGTACAGGTATTTAGCGTCCTGTGGAGCTGCGTCTTTGTTCTGCTTCTAAATGCTGTAATTACTTTAAACATAGTCAAGTGTTAATTGTGAGGGTTTTTTTTTTGGTTGCTCACCCCCGCGGTGTCCTCCTTGCGCTGACGGTAATCAACACGTTTTTACCCTTTTTCTGGTAAATCTGTCAGAGAAGAGATGAACTATGTGTCGTTGTGACAACCAGAAGATGGCTGTAAAAATAGAGATATCTTCACTTTCTTCTTCAAAGAGAGAGAGAAATGGAGAAAGGGGTTGTGAGGGAGAGAGAGAGACAATAGAATATAGGACAGTCGAGAGAAAGAGTGGATAAAGGAGATGGGCAGATAGAAGGAGAGAGAGGCATTAGAGAGTTTGTAAAGAGTAGTAGAAACTTGTCAAGGGGTTTATGCTCATTTGTGGAAAACAAAATAATCAAGTAGATAATGGACATTTCAGTAACTTGCATTGAAAGAAGTCATAATGTAATGCAGGGGTCTCTAACCTTTTTTCTCCGGTGACCTATCATTACAAAACAAAAATGACAGAGAGCTACTAGTTTTAGCGGTCACAAGAAACTAAGTATATATATGAGCCACGGCAAACCTTAGATGAAGTACAGTTAGATGTTACATCTATTTATAAATGATACATGTGCAATGGTAATAGGCATTCATTAGATTTTACTTAATCTGCGCAATACGTGCAAGTCAAAAATCCCTTGGCGAGCTTCTCTGGAGGTGGTGGAGAGCTACCGGTAGCTCCTAAGCTACAGTTTGGAGACCCCTGATGTAATGAGTGCCATACAAACCATGCAATAGAAACAAAGGTTGAATGCCATACTGTGGAACATTCCAGGCAAAGTAATAGCATCTCCATGGAGACAAGCAGGTGGTGGACACACAGCCAGAAAAGTTATTGGTACCTCCATCAGAAAACGTGGACATTACTTGTATTGTCTCATGAAAATGTTATTGCTTTGCCTGGAATGTTCAGCAGTATGGTATAATAAACTTAAATAACTTTTATTTATTCATCCATTATGCATTTTTATTGCCAAAAATACTTGGATTTGTGGCCTCACCTGCTTGTTTTCATGGAGATTTTTGTCATTTTGTGGAACATTGCAGGCAAAACAACATCTCCTGGAGAATAAAAGGTTTTGAACTCTTCATCTAAAACTTACATAGTGTCATCATCCACAATTATTTTGTGAAGGCACCAACTAAATTTCAAGCTTTTTTCATGCATTATAGAAAATCTTGTACATATTTACATTCTTATCAGTTTTTGTTTTCCTGCAGGAGCGTTGACTTTCTGTGACTCTGGTCCAGCCGGGGTCCACGAGGGTCTGTTTGAGTCCAGTGAGCTGACCCGACGAGAGGCCTGCCCCACTGTAGTCCAGAGAGCTCAGGCCGCTGCAGCCAAAGCACGAGTCCTAGCCATGTGAACAACTACAACTCCCACAGTGCATCTGGGCCCCTCACCTCCTGCCCCGCTGTAGTCCAGAGAGCTCAGGCTGCTGCAGCCAATCCACGAGTCTTAGCCATGTGAACAACTACAACTCCCACAATGCACCTGGATCTCTCATCTCCTCCTATATGCCCTGGGTTTGAACCACACTATGAAAAATGAATATTTACAGTAATTAAAATGACTTGAATTCAAAATAATCTTGATTAGAATTAGAATAATTAACCTGTTGATATGATATTTCTAGCTTTCAAGATTTATACATTTATTTAAATCTCATTTCAAGCATAATTGATTGATCACTGATATGGTTTTGACACTGAAAAAAAAATACTGATGTTACACAATTATGAATGACTGAATATGATCTAGAATTTGATTTAGACTAAATAAAATCATGTGGGATATTTATATACCCAATTTCTACAGTATTCCAAGGGAGACAATAAGCATGCAAGATAAATAAGTTACTTGATATAAGAGAAAATACTGATGGAGGATAATTACATTGATCTAAGCCATAGTACAATTTGAAAAACTCACCAAACAAGCGAATGATCTATGTATAGTAATATAGTATGACATACATGTATGATACAACTCAACTTCTCAAGTCAAGATATATATTGTGAATTGAAGTCCATTTTACCACATATTCATTTTGTAGTGCACCCATGTTATTTATTTTTCATTACCTGTTTGTCGGTTTTCTTGTGAACCACAGCCACAGCGTGAACCCAGAAGACTGACTCTGGATCAGCCATGCCGTGTCAGATTGGTGCTAAACTTTTTCAGGGTCCAATTTTATGGAACAAATAACAATTGTTTTCCAGTGAGTAAGACTGGAGGTTTTGTATCAAATACTGTTTGAGAACTTTTGACCATTGAAAAGACAGAATAATCGGTTTTAATTGGAGTTTCACTGTGTTTGATAAATGTCCCAGTCCTTCATCTCTCCAAAACCCATCGATTGTTGTGAGTTTAAATCTCAGTTAACAAAGAAATAATCAAAACTAAAATGACATAGAACCGGAACAAATCTGTAAGACAATTTTTGAAATACACAGTTTACTGTACTGTAGGTAGTCATTTCTGTTTGAATTAGATTAATCTTTTTTATCTTCTGCAAGTTCAAGGAATAATTTGTATTTTAACATCATTAGACATTTAGGTGTAACAAATAGGAAGAAAGAGGCTTAGGTGGCTGTTTTACTGCTGCGGTGAAGAGTTGTGACTCATAGCATAAGCAGACATTGAAGGAGGGGAGAGATAATGCATTTATATCTTCAAAGACAAGTAATAGTAATGCTGATACTTTAATATGGTTTAAATGTCCTCTTTGGACAAATATAAGTTAGTGATTGATTGATAGAGAGAAATCTTGTCTTGTTCAATAGACACTAGTGTTGTCATGATGCAAAAAATTTTAACTTGATTTCAATACTAGAAAACTATACAAGTGTCAATACTACAATTAGGGGTGTCAAATTATCGCGTTAATTGCGATGAATTAATTACAGTCATATTTAGCGCGTTATGTTTTTTAATCGCGTTAATCTCATTTTTAATCTCTAATTTTACTGTTTCTGTATGCGAGTTGCTTTATTATAAAACCTGTTTTTATGTGTTGTTGGGACAACAACACACACACGCAAAAAAAACACATTTATAAATTTTTTTATTTCGGTATTTCCACTCATTGCCGGAAACCCACACAAAACGCGCGCAGTAAGAGCGATGTAAAGGTCATGTTAACGTTGGCGGCGTCAGTCGCACAATGGACGAGGTCGAAGAGCCAGTAGAACAGAGGCAGCAGTGCACAGGTAAAAACGCATTCGTGTCTTGGAAATTATTCTCCCGACGTGAAATATAAAACAAAATAACAAATATAATATCGCCTACAACTTAAATGTCACTGGTGAAAACAACCTGCATAGGCTCATGATGTCTGCACTACTGTCCTATAGTGACCTGCCACATGAGGGGACACGCACACAAACACACACAAACATAAACACACACAAACAAACACACACCTTCATCATCGTCATTAACCTGAGAACGCGCGGACCACATTTCCTTCCGTAGACACTGCGCAGAAAACCGACGTGCTCTCCCGTGAGCCTGCGTGTGGATCGTGTTTTCTCGCATAGGCTGCGTAAACCGTGCTTCGTCCTGTGCGCCTCTAAACCAGAACTAACACCAAGACTAAAACCAGGTCTAAACCAGGACTAAACCAGAACTAACACCAGGACTAAAACCAGGATTAATCCATTCCAGGACTAAACTAGGACTAAAGTGGGACTAAAGCAGGTCTAAAACAAGAACTAAAACCAGTGATCTCATATATAAAGCATTTCTCTATCAGTAATATTTTTAATATGGTTAAGGAAAGACTGGACTTTTTATTGTCTTTAAGTAGACAAAAGTTATTATGTTCATTTTTCCTCATTTCCTCATCTTTGCTGCTTTACAGCAAACAGTTTCTTATTCATGGAGACTTGGGCTCAACAGCCAATTTGGAGAGATTTGTTAAACAATAAATGACTTTATAAAGTCACTTTTTTTAATCTATATCAGTCTTTTGATCTGCCACAATAATGTAATAATGAATTTAAATGAAAATAACTCAAATTGAAGGCTTTTCTCAGTAATTTTTAGGTGAGATTAAAATGAGATTAATTAGATTAATTAATTACAGATCATAATTAATTAATCTCTCAATTTTTTTAATCGCATGACAGCACTAACTACAATGATGATAAAAACTCACATTTTTCACATTTTAGTGTAAATTTCATAACAAAATATAGTTTCTTATTACTATTAGATCAGGGCACTCTAAATCTGTTCAGGAGGGCAAATGTTGTCCTATTTTTTGCTTTGCATTTGTTTTCCCCAGTATCAGTATTTATTTATTTATTTATCTAGTTTCAGTACTAGTTTTAGGATTAATTTCTAGGTATTCATTTTTGGCAGCCCTAATAGACACAAACAGCTATCCGCATGCATTTACTGGAGAGCATTTTGACGAATACTTATGCATTTTCAACCAGCCTTGTCTAATTCTCATCTTGTATACTATGAAAAGCCTGTACTTATAAAGGTAAAGACAATACTGCAGACACAAGTTTCTCACTTGACGGCTGTAAGAAAATACTTTTGTAACTAATTAATTAAGGTCTAGATTCAAAGGAGTAATTATATTCAGATGTGTGAGAGAAAGGAGCTGAAAAAAGTGTTTATTTGAAAGAAAGAAATTAAAAGTTGATTAAAGAAAAAGAAGTAGACTGTGGATCTGTTAATTAAGATTTATAAAGGCTCAGTCTATTAAAGGGAAGGCGCTGAGAGAGCATTGAGCCGCAGTATTATAGATTTGAGGGACATGTCATGCTTCTATTTATTTTAAGGTGCACTGTGTAACTTTTCTGGCCATTAGCTTGTCTGATGATGAGATGCTATTACCTTGCCTGAAATGTCTGTCTAGCATTTATTTAAAGGCCCACTGCAGCTTTTCTGGTGGTGGGTACATAACTAAAATATTCCACAGTATGACATTAAGCTTATTGCATATGGCAGTTTTTATTGCTAAAAGACACTTTGAAAAACATTCTTATTGTGATCAAAGTCGCCACTCCGCAGATTTGACCTGTCACTTGGCCTGGTTGCGTCATCTGCTTGTCTTAATGAAGATAGATAAGTTTAATGCTATACTGTGGAATATTTCTGGCAAAGCAATGACATGTTCAAGCAGATGGTGTGAAAAAGTTACGAAGTGCAACTTTAATTGTGAGTATTTTCTTGCTAAAAAAAATACCTTTAAAAACTTGTATTCTTACTGAGAGTGAGTTCGCCCCTCCACAGATTTGACCCATAAGCTGTCACCATGGAAATACAAAAGCCGAATGCTACAGGTGACATCACACTTCCTTAGTCCACCTCCTTATACTTCAAATGTAAAACATAAAATAAAAATATACCATGGACAAGCATTTATCTTTCTATTTTGCAAAATTTGTCTGTAAAAATTGAAAATCACACTTTTTTCTCCCCCAAATTGTTCTGTCTTTAAAAACTACCTCCATAACCTCTGGAACAGTATTGCCATCTACATCAAAATACATGATCTGTCTAAATTGAAAAGTTTACAGTAAATACCACTGCCATAGAAACACATATTAGAACAAATCAGACATTATTTTACTGATCATTCTCCATAGTAACAGCAGCCTATCTAATGTTAAATAACACAGGCCTATTCACAATGTATGAAATATTGAACAAAAGAGGATCTAAATATCTTTGGTACAAACCTCTCCTATCTGCTCACTGGATCATCTGCCTTCATCAATAATTCAACTTGTATTTTTAATCTTTGCCTTTTACTCAGTGCCAACCTCAGTGCCAAACGGCCGCGCTCCGTCCAGATTCAGTACTATGGGAATACTACTACTACTTAATCTACAAATACTTCTGTAACACTTTATAACAACTACACTTTTAGTAGCTGCAATAAAGCATGAATAAAGACTTAAAGGCCCCCCCCCCCATTTTAGCAAAAAAATGTCTTGTTTTTCACATTTTAAGACAGTAAAAATCAGATACAGCGCCTTTAAGTAGTTACGATGCCTGAATCATCCTTGATAAACTATTTATTCATTATAAATTAAGTCTTCTGTGTTCATACTTTATTAGGACTATGAGGTGTTTGTTGTTATAAAGTGGTACCAATACTACTAGCACTATACTGCTCATTGTTACAGAAATACTCAAATTGGCACATACTAGCTCCACACTTGACACAAAAGTGAAGGGGGAGGGGCAGAGACACACTAAAGAGTGCATTTACCATCACGTCAGGCAATTTCAAAATGACGTGCAATTTTAGACTGAAAGGAAAATATTCAAATCAGTTTGAGCACAAAGGAATTCACAAGAGATTACTTTGAAGGGTTTTACAATTGAGATCAAATGTTGTTTTGAAAGCTAGAGTTAAAGATTTTTGAAAGCTAAAATGGTTAATGGCAACATTGGACTACAGTTTTGCCATTGGAATGCTGTTTTTCAAAATGATTTATCATTTTTGTGGGCTATTGTTTTTGAAATTCCCTCGTATCTCATTTGTTTATTACCTGAAAACATGCATTGTAATTCCAAGGCTCTGTGGATTTAGCGGTCGGTAGCCTCACTGTTAGCCGCACTACTTCCTGTCTAATTTTATCTCTATGGGTTTTTTGCAGATTCATGTTAAAATTAATAAATATTTAAGGATAAGGCCGTGAGCAGGGAGCTGTGGGTGGATGTCACTGACAGCATGTTAAAATAATAACACTAATCAAATCAAAGGATACTTCTGTGTTTAGAAAGACAGATGTTCGTGTCTCAATGCTAATGCTAACGCTAACGCAAAGTCTGAAACGTAAGAAAACAATGCCACAACCTGAAATATTCTACAAATAAAAATGAATAATTATTTTAATTCATTTTAATTCTGATAGGTTCTTTATTTTATGTTTTCTGATTTTAATGAAAGTGACTGCCAGCTCTGAGACACCGCGCCTTGACTAGCCTTGCAGTGCACTCCGCTAGTTAAACTGTCAAACATTTTTGGTTTGTTGCAGTTATATGTGGCACAGAGTCGCTTTACATCCACATGGTCTTGGGTTCAACTCCCTGACTAATTTGTAAGTCTGCATGTTCTCCCTGTGTCTCAGTGGGTTTCCTTTCGATGCTCTTTCACCCATCAATCTAAAACCTGCACAGATCTATTATAGAGTCATCTGGTCCTGACCACTTTAAACCACGAAAACATTTACTTTTACTGCACTTAATCCAGAAGAAGACCTGTTACTGTGAATGTATCACGATGCATTCAGGTCCTCCGTTCATTTCAAGACTGTGGCTTTATTGTGTAGTTGTACTTATCCGTACCGTTCTTCATCACTTCATGTAAAAATCCCTTTAACGCACCTTAAACTGCACTTAAAACTTAATGTGACTTTGACATTTTTTCTGTAAATGTTTCACTGTGAAATTATTTTAAAAAATGCATTTGAGATTAACACCAGTTTCCTCTTTTTGCTAACGTTACTTTTGTGATTTTGTGAAATTATTTTTGATTTTGTGAATTTTTGGTGCACCTTGTCTCTGTAAGTGCTGCTTGTGTCTGTGTCGTAAGTGCCATAAATATTTTGAAAATTGTAAAAAGTTGAAAGAATTTTAAAGATTTTAGGGAAAAAAAAACATATTTAAAATGGAAATAGATGGAATGACCAAAAATGCTATGACCTTTACATTGTTAATTTGATTCCATGCATGTTAACATTAGGCGTGTTTTAAATTTCACTGTTGATGATGTCAAAATTGTTGTTTGGCAAAAAGTATATTATTGTAAGGAGAATGGTGTCAGTTGAAAATTAAGGAAGTTGTGGTTTAATCTAAAAATCGACCGCACGTTTGTGTTTCATTTGACAGTTCTTTCAAGGGCTGGGCAATATGGTGATAAACATCTAATCTTTTTTCTCATTCCTGTTAATATGTTTCTTTGGGTGATATCTTCATATTGATGCTTCTTTATTGATTGCAGCTCTACGTTAAAAATAGTGGTGGAAGAATAACTCAATTTTGCTACTTCTGTACAAATATAGATATCAGAACAAAAAAATACAAAAAAAACTTCTACTTCTGCCTGTTAAAAATACATGTTAAAAATTAATCCTGCTGAAAAGGTTGAGGGTTTAAACAATAATAAAAAATACTTTTACTTTTCAGCCCTGTTCAAAAATGTCACGGAGTAGAAAGTACAGATACCTGCTTTCAAATGTGGTGAAGCAAAAGTAAAAAGAATCACTGCAAAATGTACTTATGCCTACAATTGTGACTTACGTTCTGTACTTTACTAGTTGCACTTTGTTACTTTCCACCACTGGTTAAAACACTGACACTTTTCCCACCCACTTCTATGTCGGGCTCTGAGTGAGTGACAGGTGGATTCAACCAATCACAGTGAAGTGTAAACTCTCAAAAGAATCTGACATGAATTGTGATCATATTAAAAAATTTGCATATTTTTGACATGCATTATAAGCTCCAAGATATTACATACAGGTTTGAGCACATTTCTTATAATATAAAATTATCAGATTTTCTTCATGAAGAGATTACAAAAACACTACCATGGTATTTTTGTCACTATCATTCACTCCTATCTGTGTGTTTGTGTTTTTTTGTTTTTATTTAACGCTTGATGCCTTTAAACGAATCAGCAGTGACACAGACTGTTTAACACTCACCTCTGGCTTATTCGTGTATTTTTTTAAAAATACTCTTTATATTATGTAGTCTAAAGTGTGTGTCCTTTTATTTACTGTAATCAGACAGGTCTTTAAATAGTTTCAAAACTACAACCTTTTTTATTAATCCATTTGTTTGTTTTGAGTTGGAAATAATTACAGTTTCTACTTGCAGTTACTTTAGCAACTAATATTTCTGAATAAGGAAAGAACATGTGAAAGAAACTCTACAGGTTTCTTCATATAAATTTATGAAAATAAAACTATTTAAAGCTAATAGATATCCCTTTTATTTGGTATATTCTTCATAACTAAACAGAGAGAGTGCCTGAAATATTACATTTTATTGTTGTACAATGAAGTAATTGCTTCATCAGTGTTGTGTTGCATGCTGGGAAATATTTCTGTCTTATAAGTTCCTTTTGGGACATTGAAGGAAAAACTACTTAAATCAAATCCAGGATCAAAGGTCAAAGGGCCCGAGCCTCCGTAAAGATGCACTGTGTAACTTTTCTGGTGGGGGCTGTGCTTGTCTCCTTTATTTATTGCTTTGTGTGAAATATTCCACAGTATAGCATTTCAAGGTCATATATTGAATGAAACAAGACGCAACTCAAGGTATGTTTGTGACGAGATATTATAACATAGATCAGAAAATAAGACATCCATTGTTATACTGCAAGCTTGACCTAGTGGCTCTGCTTTTAATGCCATACTGTGGAACATTCCAGCAGGTGTCGTACCCTCCACCAGAAAAGATACACCTGACAAGACCAAATGATCGATTCAAGCAAGATAGCGATTTTTAAACCCCCCTTTATTGCAGATTTATTTGTGTTTATTCAGAATTTACACTCAGAACACCTTGTTGAGACAGACATAACGGTTATGTAATTTGTCAAAAAATATATGAACTTTTGCTCTTGTTTTAAGTTCATGAGAAAAGATGTCATTCATTGTTTTTTTAAGTTTCTTTCTTGAGAGTAGTGGAGATTTGAAGTTTTTGGGGTTGGTCCCATTGAGCACCTTTAAACCTGCAGCCTGTGTCAAAGCCATACAACTGTTTGTGCCGTCAAATAAAGAAATAAATGAATAAACTAAAAAAAAAAAAATGTTGTAAATAAGTCCAGTGAAGAAGAATAAAACAGGAAATGCATGAAATGGACCGATGCGTGTGAGCGTTTTTTCCATCACTTTAGCACTACACATTAATTAAAGCACAAGCAAAGATGAATGGTACAGAGGAACAGTGTGAATAGAACATGTAGCATCTCTCTTTCTCTTTCTCCCCCTTTTCTCCTCTCTCTCCATTTCCTTTCCTTTCTCTCTCCCTTCTCCCTCTTTTCATCTCCGTCTATCTCTCATTCTTTATTTCTCCTCTCCCTCTCTTCCCTGTCCCCACTCTTTCTCCTCCTCCTCTCTCTCTCTCTCTCTTCTCTCTTCCTCTCTTCTTTGCCCCTCCCTCTCTTCCTCTCTCTCCCTTTCTTCTATGCCCCCCTCTCTCTTTTTCCTCCTCCTCTCTCCCTCTCTTCTCTTCTCCCTCTCTTCATTGCTCCCTCTCCTCTCCCTCTTCTCTGCCTTCTTCCTCTCTCTCCCTCTTCTATGCCCCCTCTCTCCTCCTCCTCCTCTCTCATCTTCTCTCTCCCTCTCTTCTTTGCCCCTTCCCTCCCCTCTCCCTCTTCTCTGCCTCCTCTCTCTTCCTCTCTCCTTTGTCCCTCTCTCTCTTTCCCCTCTCTTCTATGCCCCCCCTCTCTCCTCCTCCTTTCTCTCCCTTTCTTCTTTGCCCTCTCCCTCTCTCCATGTTCTCTCTCTCCCTCTCTTCTTTTCCCTCTCCCTCTCTCCATCTCCTCTCTCTTCTTTTCAACCTCCCTCTCTCCCCCTTCTTCTCTCTTCCTCTCTTCTCTGTCCCCTCCCTCTCTCCACCTCCTCTCTCCCTCTCTTCTTTGCCCTCTCCTTCTCTCCATCTTCTCTGCCTCCTCCCTCCTTTTCTCTTCTTTGCCCTCTCCCTCTCTCCATCTCCTCTCTCTCCCTCTTTGCTTTGTCCCCCTCTCTTTCCACCTCTCTTCCCTCTCTCTTCTCTACCTCCTCCCTCTCCTTTCTCTCCCTCTCTTCTCGTCCCTCTCCGTCTCTCCATCTCCTCTCTCTTCCTCTCTTCTCTGCCTCCTCCTTCTCTTCTTTGCAACTCCCCCTTCTCTCTTCCTCTCTTTTCTCTCCCCCCTCTCACTTTCTTCTTTCTCTCCCTCTCTCCTTCTCTTCTACATCAAATTCTCTTCTCTCTCTCTCACGCACCCTCCTCATTTCTCTCCCTCCCTGTTTCTCTCTCTCTCTTTCTCGGCGTCCCTCTCTCTCGCCTCTCTGTCTAAAATAGCTTTAATGTGTTTCGGTTGGACTTTAACCGTATCCCATGGCAACCAGACCGACTTCCTGCAATTTGCCTCAACCCCTATGCCGTGTAAAGCTGTACAGCGGTAAAGCCTATAGAACAACATAAGGGCTGGGACGTTAAACAAATGAAATATTATCACAACTTTAATTCTTTCAAGCAGAAATTCATTTACAGCTTACAATCATTTAGAAGATGAAGAAGACCTATCTAGAAAACAAGATTTCAGAGGCCGGCTCACTGTAGAAAACCATGACTATGACATGATTATATTCCAAATCATTTGAATTTAAGTTGATTTTGTGTATTTGTATTGTCCTAAAGCTCGTCATAAGGGTCATGTAAGAGTATGTACTTCCTGGTGTCTGTTTCCATAGAGAATTTATGAACGTATCAGAGGAGCATCATCTCAACAAGTGTCCACTCTCTCACGCTTTGTTCATGCAGGAAATGAAATGAACACGAGGATATTTTTATTTGAACTTTTCTTGTGGAGGGTCCGCCGGCTGCTTGTCTTCATTGCTTTGCTTGGAATGTTCCGCAGTGACGCATTAAACTCATCCGTCTCCGTTAAGATAAGCGGAAATGAAACTATAGGTCAAGATACAGGTATGCATAGTATTTTTAAGCAATAAAAACACCTGTAACAGGATCAATGCAAAATAGATGAGTTTGATGCCATACTGAGGAACATTCCAGGCAAAACAATCACATCCAAGCAGGTGATGAACCCTCTATCAGAAAAAATACACAGTGTGCCTTTAATTGGCAAAGTAATATTTATACAAAGACACAGGGGCTTAATGTCAAACTTAAGTGTATTACTATGAGATTCATCGCTCAGGCATTTACCTTATAAAATATAAAGGTACACTGCGTAACTTTTCTGGTGAAGGGTCTGCATGGAGTGTATGTATTAGGCTGTCTGGAAAGTTTCACAGTATGGCATTAAATCTTAGCCTGATTCATCAGCTGGTTTTGCTTCGTTTCACTTCATACAAACCACCTGACCTCGCAGCCTTAGATTTCGTTCGCTCGACAGTAGGCAAGTACTTTTTATCCATATATTTTATTTTAACCAATTGCTGCTATTTGGTCGTGATGTATATAATGCGTGGCTAACGGGGCTAACTGGTATATTAAGATTTTCCTCAATCGCGTAGGAAGAAGGACAATAACATCTTTCCCCTTGATGAAATTCACCAAACATTCTCTTTGTTCCGGCTTTAAATCTTCGATCTCGGGAATCGTTGACAACACTGAATATATGGCTCTTCGCTGATTGGCTGGTGCCCGAACTCGCACTGCCGGGGTTTTTCTGTCTATTGTATTTTTGATTCCTGACCTAGTCGCTGGAGAGAAATTAAATTGAGCGGAGGCACTAGGTGGGGCCATTTTTTAAAAGTATCGTGTAGCAGTACGTATTATGCATTCTTACATTGAGCTGAGTCTCTCCTCCACGGATCTGACCTGTAACTTGGCCTGGCATCACCTTCAGTTGTCTTCATGGAAACTGATATGTTGATGCCATACTATGGAACATTGCAAGCAAATCAATAACATCTCCATGGAAACAAGCAGAGGTTAGTGCAGCTTAATATTTGTGTGAAAACAGCGATCTTAAAAATGACTAAACCAAAATAATCAAAGAGCTGTACCTGATTTTTTCTGTCTTTAAAAGGTGAAAAACAGTTCATTAAAAATAGTTTGCAGTGGTGAAAAGTTATTCCTCTCTATGTACTTTCCGAGCATCCAAATAATTCAAAGCAATGAGTTTACAAGCACTTTTCACAACTCTCCGAGGCCAGAGCGGAGTTTTGTTTTGATGGTAAAAAAACACGCACTTCCTGATCAATATTTTTTTTTCCATTTAGATGCAGACAGCATGCAGCAGACTTATTTTAACCTCAAGAGCTGCTTTTACGATTTATCTGCACTTGGGCAAGACACATTCTGCACAACACATGGGGAAAATCCAATACAGTGCCTTTAATTTAGTCTGGTCTTTGTTTCTTTGTTTAAAATCATCTCAAACTGTTGTATTTTCCCCGACCCCTCTCCGCTCTCCTCTCCTCAAGCCCACCGAGAATAGCCTCTTTTTCATTTCACACCATTTTAAATTCACACGCAGGTTTATTTGTTCTGTTATCAGGTGACTGCAGTACTCCCAAGTGCTTCAAATATGGAACATACCAGAGACAAAGATAAGAGGAGAGTCTAAATAAACTGATCCCAAATCTAATGGAATAAAATTACAAAACAGGCCACAGGGAGAGAGAGTTGTAAAGAGAAAATAATGCACTCAGATTTGCATAGAGAGGTGGGAATATACAAGAAAAGAACTGCAAATTCTTGTATAGAAGAAGTATAAAGCATTGTGGTCCAAGAAATTATGTCAGTAAAAAGTGTTTGGGGAAGTTAAACTACTCAAGTAAGAGTATTTGTACACACTATTCCTGATCTACTGCATGTTATAAAGTTGTTTCCTCATCACAGACAGACCTGGAGCTGTGTTTTGTTTCTGTCACATGTTTAACCCACAAGCTCGGCATATTTAGGCTGAGTTTTTCTCTCAAACAGAAGACACTCTGTTCCACCTTTTGATGTTTTGTGGTAAAACAGGAAGTGCTCCACTGTGTTTTTAAACACTATATGCCTTCACTGTTATTATTTGGATGATTTCAGATCTGGAATTGCCAATCTCTACTGAATTAAAAGTAAAAGGTAGCTGTTAATTTGGAAACTATTAGCCTGACCTTGCAGCACTAGGATATGTTCGCTCAACAGTAGGAGGTTTTTTTTTTTTTATTTAACCAATATTTAAGAAGCTGCTAAGAAGAACAATAACATCTTTCCCCTTGAAAAAATTCACCAAACATTCTCTGTGTTCCGGC